ACGAACATGAAATCAGCGGCCGCCGACTTGGTTGATCCTGCAGCGTAAGCAACCGTGGCCACTTCATCTCTGCCTCCCAGCCATCACACCGTTTGTCGAGACCTGCAACCGAAGGCCGGCTGATACTCCACGACTCCACCAAGCAAGCAAGACGCCAGACAAACCACGCGCAACCGCAAGGCACCCAACCTGAACTGACACTCACGACGCATTCACTCGGCTCGAGGAGCATCGCTACGCTTCAAAGCTCCAAGTCCTCGAAGGCATCCCTTGACGACCACAGCGAGAATGTCTTCGATCAACCCTGGTTCGGTTCCGGACCCGATAGTCTTCCCAGACTACCGGCTCCGCAGGCCTTTGAGGGTGCTGACGACGCCATCACTGCTAACGCCCTACTTGCCCGCCGTTCTCAAGAGCGGACCTCCAGCTTTAGTCCTGCGCATCGTCGCTATGCTGTTGCTCTTGAACATTCGCTCTTTTCCCCTCTTTTGGCACATTAGGGTATTCCTGCCTGCTGTGTGGGCCAGGTTCAAAGCTAGACCTAGCATTCATCCTCTCTTGCCCTGGATCTCGAGCAGCAAGCATGCCACCACTCAGCCCGGGACGAGTCCTGCGCTCAGGTTGGATGCGCTACCCCTCGGCAAAGACATCTTCAACGATGTGGAGACATACACCTGCCGGGCATGGCCAGATGACTGCGACTGGAAGTGAGTGGACGTTCGACTGTTGGGTACAGCGTGCGGATACAAGAGCTGACAGATTTACTGCCTCGACACAGCCTGCACGTCTCGAACAGCGCATACAGTCGAGCTCTGGACTACGCCCGCATGTCCTTCCTCAGCTCCCGCATTCTACGCTTCCACTTCGATGGAGGCTGGATGGCCTTGGGCGGAGCAGCCTTGACCTTTCACAAGGAAATCCCATTCATGGCAAAGTACGAAATCCGCATGCAAGTAGCATCTTGGGACGACAAGTGGTTCTACGTGCTGGCTCGCTTCGTGTCACCTGCCAAGGGACATGCCAGAACTCGACAAGCAGGAGTCAGGAAGCGGTCGAGATCAGCTCAGAACTTGAAGGCTATGCTGATTGACGTCGCGCAGCCTCAAGGCAAGCCCCCGGTCAGGCCACCCAAGCCGGACGAGGAGCAAGAAGCTGGATTGCAGGAGGGCGAAGTGGAGCAGAGCTTGGAGGGCCGCACCATCTACGCCACGGCTGTGAGCAGGTATTGTTTCAAGTCTGGCCGCAGAACCATCCCACCTTGGCTCGTCGTTGCCACGTCCGGCTATGGAACTTTTGCATCGACGCGCTCCAATTGGGAAAGGGCTGAAGGTCTTCGACGCAACATCCTCTCTCGCGAACAAGCCAAATACCAGAGCAAGCATGGCAAGGCGATGCCGCGGGATGGTATCATCGAAGGCGGTGGGCATCGCAAGGCTGGCATCATGAGTGTATACGACCCTGCCAGAGCAGAAGGGGTCGGCAAGGAAGACAACAGGGGTCTGGGCGCTTGGCAAGACAAAGCCAGCTGGAATTTGGTGAGCATTAGGGCGAAAGAATGTGCAGTGCTCTTCCACCCTTGGCAGCACGATCTTGATTGGCTCATCATGCCTGCCTTTCACTCTAACAGGGCGAGTTCGAAGAGCGGAGACTTCGGGGCTTGGAAGAGGTACGCACCATCGTCGGAGGCGTGCTACCTTCGTCTGGCTCTGCTGCCTTGTCAATCAGCCACTCGTAGGCGAAGCTCGCGGTGTGCTTCGTCGGAGCCTCCTTGCATTGACAGGACTACTTCAATCAGGGCCCTTACTTGTCACGCACATATTGTATGGCTCGCGCATGTCCGCGAAACAGATGTTCCACCAGGTCTTCTTCGTCCAAATCCCTTGCGCTTCGCAATGCATAGCTTGGTGACGCAATCCGACGTTGACAAGAGGAGCTTTGGTTCACTCCAATGTGCGGTGTACTGCACCAGACACGTGAAGTAATTTGTAGGTGTGGCGCCTTGGGTCATGGTCTTGGAATCTGTTTCCTCACAGGAGAACATCAAAGGCGGTCGAAGGAAGGTCTTGAAGTCTCACTCATCAGACTCAAAGACTAGCCAGCGACCG